ATCTCTGTACTCAGCTATCTCTCTGCTCTCAGTACTCTCTCTGAGTTTTCAGTTCCCTCTATCACCTCTCTCTTCAAATCTTCTTAACCTTCTCTGTTACCTCTCTCTGTAACTTTACTATTCATCTCTGTAATTTTACTATTTACTGTTATCCTCTGTTACACTTTGTAACTTCATATTTCTTTTACTGTATATCGGGTGGTGTACCTAACCACACCGAGCTTTCTTTTAAGAGTGATTGTGAGGATTGTTAATGTGTTATTGTAACCTTAACAGTCTACCGAGCTACGGCGCAAAAGAGTGGAAGATATTCTCGAGTTACTGCAAGTGTCTTATATGAGTTTCTTTTTATTATGCAAGTTAAATTGATATTTTGTTTTAAAATTTAGAAATACTACTTATATAAATTGGTTTGTTATTGATGTATCATCTCTTTTATGTGTTGTCTGTCTAATACTGTTTCTTCTTATGAGATTTGTGTACTATTGATAAATTTCTTGAAAATAATTGTTGAAAATAATTGCTAAAATAGATCTTGGTTGTTTTGGTATCAGAGCCAATAGTTTTACAGTGGTGAACTGTAGTCTAGGTACTATTCTAGAGGTTAAGAACTTAATAAAATTTTCTATTCAGACAATCAGAGTTTGAAACTAAACGTCGTCGTGACCCGCACTACTAAAAAAAGGCTAGGAAGAGTCGTGAAAAAGGTACAGGGACTGTTTTCGACTGACTCAGTATTCAATCATTGTACTGAAATGGCAAATTTTATTAGGACTCTATCCAATAGAACAACATCTTTGTCTAATAGTACACTACGAGTAAAAAATAAGGAAGAAATAACCATAGATAATATAGAAAGACATACAAAATTGGAATATTCTTAAAGTACCCCTAATACAAAACAGTAGAACAAAGTATATCTATTACAAATGAGCAAGAAAGTTTCCAACTACTGTCTAATAGAATGATTCAAAATCATAAATCTAAAGAATATAAATATTTACATATAGGTCTTATACAGATTATCATTAAACCTTTAACCCGACTAGGTTTAAATAATTCTGTTTTGTTATGTCTAGGAGATGACCGCCATAATAAATTCTCAGACTGCCTTTTAGGAATAATAGAGTCCAGTCTTTGTAATGGACTTTTATACTTTAACTGCTTTCCAAACTTCTCAGTTTCATTAGCAGATCCTAACCTATTAAAAGTTCTCACTTTGAATATAAAAACCCAAGGGTTTGATATGAACCCTGGATCACAAAATTTTGCAGTAGTATATAGAATATGTTATAAAGATATGAACACTTTATGTCCAAATACTCTGCAGATGGATACTAAAGAACAGACAATATTTGTCCAGACAAATATAGAGAAATCTAATACAGTCATACCCAAATCCATAAGCTGGTCCCAAATAAATCTTCCAGAAAATTGGTCCTTACATTGTGAGAACCAACAATCCAGAGTCCCAATCAATAGAGAACCAGACCAGATTATTGAGTATCCTGATAGAGACATAGAAATACAATTTAATTCTAATAGACATACTAGAATAAATCTGTCAGAGGAATCTATACGAGCACCTTCCAAAATCTCTATACCTTCTAGACATTTTACCTCGTCCATACCACAAAGACCCATATTAGATGTCCGGAATCTATATACCTTCTAGATATTCTACCTCGTCCATACCACAAAGACCAACATTAGATGGATTGTCTTGAACAAATAGTAATATCCAAAGACCGGTTTATAGGGTATATGAACCTAGCTCATCTGATAATGAACTTACACCTTCGGATTTGGATTTTAATATCCTCACCCTGCAAAAAGAGGAAAAGTTTAAAATTGATATAGAAGGGATTAAGAATGATTTCCTATCTGAAGAAAATAAAGAAAAACGAGACTGGTAACTGAATGAATTCCCTCAAGAATTACTAGATGCCTTTCATAAAAGATTTAATAAATTTATAAAGTAAAACAAACAGAATATAGGATTCTTTGTTTGGTTAAGACATACTCTGAAAGAAAAGGATATACTTATCCCAGACTTTGGACTTAATACTATAGAAAACCAATACCAGACCTTTTTTATACTAATGAAGGAGAAGATATACAAAGCATTCACCCTACTGAAAAAAGTCTCCAGGTAAAAGGGGCATTGAAAGAAAAGCCTGAGACAAAAACCTCTTCTTATAAAATAATTCCAAAAGAAACGGAGAATCATACTCATAAAATAGATGTTATACCTCATATAATTGAACAAAATAACTATACAAATCTTTGTTTACAGTCTATCGGAAAATAAACGACCAGAATAGAGAATATGATTAACAAACCCCAAAGTACACCTCTAAATAACCTTGAAACAAAGCAAAAACTCTATTGTTTAAACCTCCTCCAGAACTCAGTAAAGAACAATTCAACCTACAAGGAATAAAAAAGAAAGT